GCATTTCCTATTTGTAAAAGTGACAACAAATCATTAACCCATATTGAATTTGTGATCTGCTGTAACTCGTAGTTCCTTTTCTACAATTCTCCTGCCTAGCCAGCAGTTCCCCAGTTTGTTGCTATGTTGTATTTTGATTTTGTTTTTTTTTGTTTGGTTTTTTTTTTTAGATTAAGACCATTGTTGATTTGTCCTCATTTCTTTTGGATTATGCCTCTAATTTATCCAAATCTTTGAGTCCTTTGGAACTCCTGCAATTCCTCAAAGCCTGGTATCATCTGCAAATTTTCTAAGCATGTTAGATGATAATTTGCCATCCAACTTTAATTAGCTCAAGTTAGTTCAAGATAAGCCCTTGCAGGGCTCATTTGTATAGTCCTCTCAGACTGACAGTGATCTTTGAAAAACTGCCCTTTGAGTACTGGTTACATCTCTTGCATGCTCATTTTATGGTGATTTCAGCTAAGCACTATTTCACTTGTTTGCTTACAAGAATGTCTCATGGGACAGCATTAGAAGTCTTAATTATAGCAAACTACAGCACACTATTGTTTCTTTGTTACTCACTCAGCCTTGAAGTACAAACTAGATTGATCTGCCAAGAATAAATCAATCATATCAATGTCAGCTGTTCTTGACCACTTAGTAGCCCTCTGCTGATTTTTCAACTGTTTTCTTTCAGAATTTTTTTGGTATGGTTCTAGTATCTTTTCTAGGTGTTCATATGGAAGGCCTGGCTTCTAATGACCTTGATCTTCCTTTCCTAGATACAGAGAGGCAATATTTGCTTTCCGTCAGCCCTCTGGCACCTGTCCCCATACTCTCAAAGGTAATTACTGAGGGTTTGGATCCTTAAACAGTAACTTGATTGGCTGTAACTAACCTAAATAGTCTTCACTCCAGTCTTTCCTTACTCTGACCTGTTCTCTTTTCCCAATGCATTGCAATGAGTATCTGTTAACTTTTCTCTGTATAGAAAGAAATGACATTTGACATGTCCTCTGTCAATTGCTGTCCTCCTTCAAATATCAGACCTGACTGGTTTTTGTTATTCTTACTCCTAATGTGTTTATATAGCCTTTTCTTACCTATTATGTCTCATAGTGGCCTATCAAGTAAACCTTCCAACTGGAAAATTAGTTGCTGCTAGATAATCCTTGTTAGGCACCTCTGTTTGTAAGGGAAAAGAGGTCATCTGGAGTATTCCTATTCACTTGTAAAAAGCTGGGCTTTCACTTGTGAAAATGAATGTCTGGAGTGTATAAGAATAAGAAGTGTTCAGCATTTCTAAAAATTTGACTTGATTTAGGTTTAGAGTCTCCTGTTTTTCTGGCAGAGAGGAATTGGATTAATTTTAAGGAACTATGTCTGTGCTCATGTGGCATGAGAGGAGGGTGGACAACTGCACTCAGCTTAGTACAGTACAAGAAACAAGGCTCTTATATTCCCAAATCAATTGGCAAAAGCACAAAAAAGCACAAATGTGAAATAAAAATAAGAAAAGAATGAATCAGTAACATGGAAACCACCTAAGAAGCAGGCTGGGTGGCATTTCTAGCTTGAAGATCTGCAGTTCAACCTAAGTAACTGTATCAGAGGTCTTTTTCCTGAAATAACTATGTAACTTAGGATCCAGCATGAGCTTTAGCTCACAGGAATCCCAGTCTTTCTGAACAAAAGGGTTGAAGTTTTAAGTGCCTTTGACTTTTAATAAAGATATTTTAACCTCTCAGTTGTGTGCTTTTGAAAATGCTTTTCAGCCTTTCTTTTTTATGATAATTTTGCATTTGTATTCATCTTCCATTATATTAAAAGGTGATTAAAAAAAAATTGGAGGATGGCAGAATTCCCTGGGAAAAACCAAGAAGAGCCCCATGTCAGTGATGCATAAGGGAATACTGCCAACTAAAAGAGCCAGTCTTTGTTTTTTCGGCTGGAGTTTTTACAGGCATATTGCTTTTAGGCTTTGGTGTTTGGAGTTTTTTTGTGTTGTTTTATCTATCTGCTGCAGACAAGAGGTCTCAGACAGCCCTTGTGAAGGAAGACTATTGTAAACTGTGAAATACTCTCTTCCTTCCTCCGGAGATTCCACTGGCAAAGCAATTCTGATAAAGTTTCCTCCACTCAACTTCAGAGCTTCTGCCATGACGAGGATGAGCACTTACCAGTAGGAAGCTCATAAAACAATTTGAAAAAGTGAATCTCCAGGAAAAGGTGTAGGATATTCTGCCTCCTGGCTCCAGAGAGGATATAAACTGTTCCGGAGTTGTCTATAATTTTTCTGTGTATACAATTATAACAGCTGATCAGTCTTTTAGAAAAAAAATAAGGCTGCCCTATCAAAACGAATTATCATTAGTTTGTTTTAGGATAATGTTTACAGAACCCCTGTAAAATTAGGCCCTGCTGCATGATGTACTGTACAGGTGCATTAGAAGTACCAGCCTCTGTTAGGAGGATTTACAATCTGAAGAACACAGACAGAAAAAGGTTGGCAGACAGGAAATGTTTTCACTCCCAATTTATAGATGAACAGCTGAGGCTAAAGAAATAACAGTCCTGATCTGATGCTACCTGGAAGTCTGGTTGTTCTAAGCAAGGCTGGCCCAAGCCTGGGCTTGCAGAATGAGTCTGTGACATAGCCAAGAGTTAACCTCAACTTTCCAGAGTTTCTTGATAGTTTGTTTGTATTTCTAGCTTTGCTAGGCCACACCTGCTAGGAAGCCTTCCTCTCCCTAGAAATATTCAGTATGTTGTTTTTCATCCTCACTCTATTCAATAACTGACTTTGACATGCTTTCTAGGACTTTGTTGCCATTTCTAGTAAACTCATATTTTGATAGTAATTGAGGGTGGTTTAGAATATAGTCATTATTCTAGCCTCTTTTCTGTGATGGATTCCTTGATGGGCAGAGATGTATTAAAGTATGGCTACTTGAAAAATATTTTTTTGTGAAAAAATTGGGAATTGATGCCAGCTGAGACCTTAGCTTGGAATCCAGGAGCTGCTGATTTTTATTCTGTAAGAACAGGCTGAGGCTCTAAAATAAGAGCTCCAACATGCACTCTATAAACTATAACTATGCTTTACAGATATGAAGTGGATGCTACCCTGTGTCCTCCTATTGCTGACAACCCTTGTTGAGTCCTTTGCATGGCTAGTCTTGTTAAACCTCACCCATAATGGTGAATCTTTATGCCTGGAATACCAGTTTGGCAACTGGACTGTCTGGTGGAGCCTCCATAATAACTGCCTGAGTGGACATGGAACAAGGGATGGGGTGACGTGGCTCATCAGGGCGCAAGGGAATACCACTTTGTATCGACCAGGGTTGGGACTGCTGGGGAATGTGGAGTCTGTGACAAGCTTCTAGTGTCATGTCTTTGCACAGGGTTAAGAACTGAGCTAATGTGTCTATTACTCGTGTTGTCCGTTCCTTACTTACAGCCCTCAACAGTACTTGTGAGACCTCCTGTAACAGAGGTGAGAATGATACTTAAGTGAGAATATCCAGAACTACTTCTATACGTAGTGTGGCAAGTCACTTACCTTATCACTGAAGTGGCATACTGTCCTGGTTTCAGCTGGGATGTAGTTAACTGTCTTCCCAGTAGCTGGTACAGTGCTATGCTTTGAGTTCAGTATGTGAAGAATGTTGATAACACTGATGTTTTCAGTTGTTGCTCAGTAGTGTTTAGACTAGAGTCAAGGATTTTTCAGCTTCTCATGCCCAGCCAGGGCACCTGACCCAAACTGGCCAACAGTGTATTCCATACCATGGGACGTCCCATCTAGTTTAGGAACTGGGAAGTGGGGGGGCAGGAGGAATCACCGCTCGGGGACTGGCTGGGTGTCGGTCGGCGGGTGGTGAGCAATTGCCCTGCGCATCATTTGTACATTTCAATCCTTTTATTACTACTGTTGTCATTTTATTAGTGTTATCATTATCATTATTAGTTTCTTCTTTTCTGTTCTATTAAATCATTCTTATCTCAACCCAGGAGTTTTACTTCTTTTCCTGATTTTCTCCCCCATCCCACTGGATGGGGGGGAGTGAGTGAGCAGCTGCGTGGTGCTTAGTTGCTGGCTGGGGTTAAACCACGACACATACATGTGAAGGTATGCATGAGAAGAGTGGAGTGGTGCAGCCAGAAGACTATTGTACAAGGAATCAGTGATCTTCATGCCTCCTGCCTTCTCATGTATGCAGCTGCATTCTGAATAGCCTGTGACTGCTTACCAACCCACTATAGCAAAGTATCCATGATTACTCAGGCATGTGTCTCTGTACCATGGACACCATGTGACTGCTCTATGCAGTAGTATAATTAGTGTATACATGATAAATGTGCATGAATTCAGTATGAGACTAGTGTATTGTCTTGTCCACGTGAAATATTATATGCACCTGTTCAAGAATTGTAACTCTATTGAGGCAGGGATATTGGAGCACATGGTCCAAGGGACTCTTCAAAGTTAAGTCTGCATTCCAAGCTTGACTGCTACAAGTGACTGATGAATCTGTATTGTGAGCAAGACTCTAGAAGAATACTAGCCATTCTGGGCTGGCAAACCTTACCACAAATGAGAACTCTGCACAGCATGCTGTGATCCACAAGGAAGGGCTTGTCCAATGCTGCAGTTTCCATCTTTTACTCAAACTTAGTTATCCAGCTTTGAGTGTCGGTGCCTTTCTGCACCTTGCTGCAAAACATTATGCTAGGTAAAAAGTTGGAATCTGCTTATTCATGCAACTAACTCAAGCTAACCATCTTGGTCCTTCCTCATATCCTGGAATTGTGTGTTTCTGTCAGTAAAACTATGTAATGCAGCACTTGGCAGTTTGTCAGCACAGCGTGTCTTTGTGGGAGGGTTTATCTGGCAAGGCGAAGTGTCAGGCTTAATGTGTGGGAGGGTCAGATCCCGGGATTTTCCAAGAAATTTTTTTCCACAAGAAATTTCCCGTCTTGTGGAGGACAGGCCAGCTGAGAGAATAAAAGGCTGTAGTAAAGGCAGGGGATTACACAGTCCAGACACTTGGAGCTGAACTTAATCTTCAAGTCCATATTCAGCAACTTAGCAACAGAAATCAGTCACTGAGAAATATCGCGGAGGACTTTTGCCACCCAGCCACCACAACTACAACCTGTGAGTATAAATGGAGAGTGTTATTCTGTTTAATTGCTCAGCTAAAGGAAAACTGGACAGATAGAATTCTGTGTCAGTGTTCTTTAAAAGCTGTTTACATTTAAATGCTATCTTGATATTAAGAACTGTTACAAAATTAATAATTTCTTAAAAATGGGAATCTTAAATCTTCAGAATAATTGTTTAAAAGTATGTAGAAAAGATTGCATAGACAATATTTTTTATTGAATTTTAAGAAGTCAGTATTTGTTCTTTACAAATGTGTTCCTTTGATCTCTCATAGCCATCCACTTAAAAGATAAAGAGAAGAGAAAACTGTCAAACATGATTTGCTTGTGGTTCCTATCTCTTCTTGCTTATGGTAAGTGTGTATTTCTCTGTGTAGAAAACTAGTTGAATGGTAATATTAGTGTGACTGTTCTGTTTGAGCTCAGAATTAAATAGAATTTTTGAACCTGACCTAATTAAGTTGAGGCTAGGTTCACATAGAGTAACCTCTAGCTAGAATGGCATGTTTCCCTGCTTGCCTGTCAAATACATAATTGGCTCCTGTAGTTTGCTATGAAGTCTGCAAAGCCTTGTGTGATCAGACGTAGTTTCACAGGCTGAAGTCCCTGCAATTGATGCTGACATGCCTGTTTTGAAGCTTGCCAGTTGATTGTTTATAAAATAATTGCCACTACTTTTTAAGCAGTTTCAAATATTGGCAAGTTTGCAATATTTATAGAGCTTTATATATCCTCTCCTAGAGAGAGGAGGGAAAAAGTCAGACACCAACTTTTTGACATCTTTTCATTCTAGGACTTACAATACTGCAGGGGGTGAATTGTTGGACATACCATTATTCAGACACAAACATGACCTACAGGGAAGCAGAGCTGTGGTGCAAAAAGAGGTATACTAACATGGTTGCCATTCAGAATAAGGACGAAATCAACTATCTCAATAACTTCTTACCCTTCAATCCGGGTTACTACTGGATTGGAATCAGAAAAATTAATGAGGTATGGACCTGGATTGGAACTAACAAAGAACTAACAGAAGAGGCAGAAAACTGGGCTTCAGGTGAGCCAAATGGCAAAGGGAACAATGAAGACTGTGTTGAAATCTACATCAAAAGAGGGAAGGATGACGGCAAATGGAATGATGAACAGTGTGAAAAAAAGAAGGTCGCCTTGTGCTACACAGGTATGGTGTGATAACGGCCATTCTAGTGTGACCCTGTGGAGATGAGATGGTGGGTGGGATGAGTTGGTTAACGTAGTCTTACATATTAACTACCTGACCCTGTAAGCACTTGTACGCTTATCCTTACTTACAGGGCTAAGGTTGTTCTTGTTCCAAGAGCTGGATTGATCTCACTTAGCTTTTAGCTCCCAAAATATTATACATCTTTTATGCGCAAATCACCAGACCTTCTCTATAATCAGTGGAGGGAAGCAGGCTCTTCCAGGTGGTGACTTTCATTCCACTCTCAAGTGGGTGTCTCAGCTAGATAAGAATTGCCCTTTTGGAGGCGTCTGCCTGCTGACTATAGACCACTGGATTAGATAGACACTTTGTGTAAGAGATGGCTAAGGCTAGGTCAAAACACAAATGCAAGTGAAATATCAGCCAAATTAGAGCTGTGGTGAGTTAATGAAGAATGTACCTGTTGAGGATTTCTACCTACCCCACTGTTGTGGTTTAACCCCAGCTGGCAATTAAGCACCATGCAGCTGCTCACTCACCTCCCTCACTTGGGGGGGAGGGAATCAGAAGGGTAAAAGTGAGAAAACTCGTGGGCTGAAAGACAGTTTAATAGGTGAAGAAAAGCCGCACATGCAAGCAAAGCAAAACAAGGAATTCATCACTACTTCTCATCGGCAGGCAGGTGTTCAGCCATCTCCAGGAAAGCAGGGCTCCATTGCGTGTAACGGTTACTTGGGAAGACAAGCGCCATAAATCCAAGCATCCCCCGTTCCTTCTTCCCCCAGCTTTATATACTGAGTATGACATCATATAGTCTGGAATATCCCTTTGGTCAGTTGGGGTCAGCTGTCCCAGCTGTGTCCCCTCCCAGCTTCTTGTGCACCCCCAGCCTACTTGCTGGTGGCGTGGGGTGAGAAGCAGAAAAGGCCTTGACTCTGTATAAGCACTGCTCAGCAGTAACTAAAACATCCCTCTGTTATCGACACTGTTTTCAGCTCAAATCCAAAACATAGCCCCATACTAGCTACTGTGAAGACCATTAACTCTATCCCAGCCAAAACCAGCACACCTACGGTATATTGTTCCTTTTGCATTTTAAATATTGCTACTATCTACCTGAGAACAAGTGGTCATGGAATTTCCAGTTTGTTTTGCTATATAAAGTGCTTGATTAGTGCCAGAAAGATAAACAAAGTGGTAGCCAGGTTTCATTAGTGGCAATTGATGATTCTTTTATAATTTGCTGTATTTTTTTCTTCCCCCCCCCAGCTTCTTGCAACCCATCTCTCTGCAGTGGCCGTGGAGAATGCATAGAGACTATTAACAATCACACTTGCCATTGTAACCCTGGATTCTATGGGCCTGAATGCGAGTTTGGTAAGATTACTCCATCCTGCTTTTCAACCAGGGCAATATTCATGCTAGCTAGTGTTCAGTTTGGCTTGTTGATTCACCTGCTCAGCCAATGAGACTGACTGTGTACGTTCTTGTGTTTCTTTGAAGTTGAGAGTTGTAATCCACTAAAGAAACCTGATCATGGGAGCCTCCAGTGTAACCATCCATTGGAGAACTTCAGCTACAACTCATCCTGCACAGTTCAGTGTGAGGAAGGCTATGAACTGACTGCATTGGAATCTGTGTACTGTACCTCTTCTGGGGACTGGTCTACCCCCCTTGCAGCATGCAAAGGTGAGCTTCTCAAGCATGATAGGTGAGCTTTCTACATTATACATAGCTCTGTAAAATTGAGTGCTGCTCTGTTAGTAGGTACAAATTGAAGTTCTGTCCCATTCCTTTGTAATTAGTTATGTGGTAAAGGTGCTATTTTATTGCAGCACACAGGTCTTTTTGCTCCTGAAGAGATTAAATAGGCAGGATGAACGTTCTGGCCCTGGTCTAGATTTCCTTGTAGGGAAAGACTTTTCCACCGCTTAGTGGGGAACAAGGAATGGAGATGACCTAGCTTTGAGACTGCTCACAACAGGCCAGTTAGTCCTGACTGCAGGAATTATTTTTGAGGTGTTCAGCTTAGAATAAGCTACTGTTTGAAGCAAATAAAAGCATCAAACATCACCAAGCAGCAGTCAAAATGGGAAAATTTTGGATTGTAACTAGTTGCTGTCATGAGCTGCAGATGAATTTGCAGCCTTGCTTTAAGAGTCAGTCTTCCATTTTGAGACTTTCCACTCCTATCTGCTTTCTGAAATGGCAGCATAGTAGATCTCGTTTTTAAAGCTGCTTCCATTTAGCCAATATGTTGCTAAGTTTCAGGAAAGAAAAAAACTTTTTATGGTTTATTGCAAGCTAAGCTCTGTGCTGTTTCTTACGCATTTCAGCTGTGACCTGTCCTGCCTTAGAAATGCCTGCTCATGGTGCTGTGAACTGCTCCCATCCCTCTGTGGAGCTCACCTGGGGTACCACCTGTGAGTTCACCTGTGAGGAAGGATTTGCCCTGACAGGACCAGCCACACTGCAGTGTGGGTCTTCTGGGGCCTGGGACAGGCAGCAGCCATCCTGTGCAGGTACCTTTCCTTATCCTGCTCACCTGAGCACTTGGGGCTGTCAGCATTGGTGTGTTGAATTCCTGAGGCATCTGTGCTGATTTCTGTTATGATCTGTGTGTTGCAGCTGTGAGATGTGAGGCTGTAACCTGGCCAGAAGAAGGCTTTGTGACCTGTGACCATGCTCCTGCAGATCTCGCCTATCGCTCGCGTTGTGATTTCCGCTGCAGCGAGGGCTACGTTCTGGATGGCCCATCCAGCATTGAGTGCACGGCACAGGGACAGTGGTCAGAGCCAGTGCCAAAATGCAAAGGTAGGATGTACTGGGTTGGCAAATACAGTTTTCTTGTCACTGGAGAACACACTGAAATCCATATTCCTACAGGGTCCTGGCTCCAAACTAAACTCTGTGCTGTCTCGTGTTTTCAGCTGTGATTTGCCCTGCCTTAGAAATGCTTGCTCACAGCTCTGTGAACTGCTCCCATCCCAAAGCCAAATGAATTTGAAAAAACAGGGTATATGTACTAGTGCAAAAAACAGGGCCAAAGACAGGAAAGTCCTTAATGACTCTTAACCATTTCTTTCTGTATTTCAGTTGTACAGTGTGAACCACTGAGCTCTCCTGAGAAAAGCTCTATGGATTGCTCACATGGTGCTGGGAACTTCACGTACAACACAGCCTGCCACTTCAGCTGTCTAGAAGGATGGAGGCTCAATGGTTCTCATGTTCTTGAGTGCAATCATTCAGGAAACTGGAGTGCCAGTCTGCCCACATGTGAAGGTATTTTACCTGTGACTAGCCACAGAGAGGTGGCCCTGGGTTTCTAGTCAAATGAGGTATGGAAGGGTGGAAGATGTAACACCAACAGTGAGACAGAACTTCTAGTGAAGTCCATGAATTAAAAAGCCCAACAAAATCTCTCAGTATTTTTTTTGAAAATAGAAGAGGGGAAAATTCCTAAAAGGTCTTGGTGAAAAATGTTCATTTCTTATCCAAAACCAAAAGCTGATCTCGGGTTGTTTTGTTTGGGTTTTAATTAAAATATTTCTCATGTTGAGCTTTTTCCATATGAATAAAGAAAAAAAGCTTTTCTGGAGAAACAGAACCTTGTGGTGAAATCTGCATCCATAAGTCTGTTTCTCAGAGGAAAAGTTTATAGATTTGTTAATTTGGTGTGATAGTTTCTTGGGTGAACTCCTTGGCCAAAAGACCTCACAGAGCTTTTCTGTCAAAGGCTGTAATTTTACAGGTCAGAAGTCTCAGTCTTGCCTTCCCATTCAAGGCATTAAGAGCTCTGTCACTGTCCTTAGTAGGAACATCCTTGCCCTGCCTGAAATGCTTTTGCTTGAGGTTCTAAAAGCTCAACTCCACTTTATTTGCTTGAGCAGAACTTAGAACCTTGAATAATTTAATTGGTCTCAACAGGATTGCTCAAAGAGGAAGACAGTGAGAATTAAAATATGAACTGAAACATGAAAAATAAAAGATGAGCATAAAGTGTCATGTGAGGCTGGAAGTTAGACAGACCCTGGTATAGCTAGCTTGTTGTCTTGCTGTTGCTTTGTCAATGGGTGGGATAATTTTTAGTATGCAGCTTTTTACCTTGTGTACAGAATGTGTCCTGTCTCAGCAAGAGAAAACTTAAGGGTTACAAGCTGCAATTCTGGTTCCTCTTGAAAAGCACAAGATAAAGGAAGAAATAGAGAGGGCTTCAAAGACCACACGTGACTCTTGATCTCACTGAAATTTTTTCATCCTCTCAGCTTCTGAACAAGTCAGCCATGTCTCTGTGGGCATAGCAGCCACAAGTGCCTCTCTGTTGTCCACGGCATCATTCCTCCTTTGGCTTGCAAGACGTTTCCGAAGAAAAGGTGAGCAATTGGAGTGGGTCCACTGGTTTTATTTACCTTCCTGAAAAATTTTCAGTGGAGGGAAAAAACACCCCTCCAAACCCCAATACCTCGCTTTTTGAAAAAATGAAAATTCCCATACTTAAAGAAATTTCAAAGTTATTTTCAAGAAGCCTGCATACATGCCATGTTTGGCTTTTGGATGAACATTTTAAAACAAAAAATAGTAAAAAAATTAATATTTAGAAAACAAGAATTAGAAGAAAAAAGCAACATTTTATTTATTGGTAATTACTACCAGAGAAAGTGAATGGGTATTTGAGATGGGGCTAATGACAACATAGTAATAACTGCCTGTGAGATTTATTGCTAGATAATGGCTTTTTATCAGATATTCAGAAATGAGAGGGGTTTTAGTAGAAGAAAAATTTTGCATGATGGGGCCTTCATCTTGAAATGCTAATATCTTTTCTTATTCTTCTTGCAGCAAAGAAATTTACTCCTTCCAGGTAAGTTCCATCTCAAAAAAAAAAAAACCCATGAAAAACACTGCAATCACTTTGCTAAAATCCTTTTGATATAAACCAGTTGTCATGAAAGTATTTTTCATTTCTGTTTTTTTTTTATAGTAGCTGCCAAAGCCTAACCACTGAAGGTAGTTTCCAAAGTGCTGGCCAGAATGTCTAACTCTGGGTGATTCAGGTAAGCACATGAGATAGCTGCACTCACAAATTGTCTTCCTTTTAATCACACAAGCAATCAGAGCTGTTAATTGCTATACAATTGCTGAAATAGCAATATGTGCTTTGGGGTACCTAATAGGCATCTTGGCATTGCATGAAAGTTCTTAACAAGACTCATGGATTTATTGCTTTAGAAATGGTTATTCAGCTTCTTAAGGATGATTGTGCTTAGCATTCTGTCCAGCTGCATATAGTATTAGGAACACTTTTGTGCATTTTTGCTACCTGCTGCATACAAAGTTCCTCTGAAATGAGAGCAAATACAAATCTATGCCAACTTTCCAATTTATAGAGGAATTTCGTTCTCTCTGCAGGAACTGAAGCCTTCTTTACTTACGTCTCAGAGATTTCTGGAGAATGAAACTGCATGCAAATCAGCAGCTGTCCAGATGTTTTTACCGCTTGCTGACAAGATGATTGACCTTGTGTATTGTTCAGAAATTTTGAATCCAAGCTGTCTGGTATTTCCACTGAAGACAAGCACAGAGTAAAACTCTGGCCTTCTGGCAAAATACTGTCTACATTCAGTCATGTAGTTATCAAAACTGGGAGCTTGCCATCTCTTGTCCAGATGGTGAGCAAATAGTAAGCTGCTGCCTAAAGAGGAGGCTGGTTTCTCCTCTGGTCTACTCAAAGGTACCTAGGTGAGGTGAAGACATGCATTATTTCACATCACTTACTACACTGCTGGAGATGTCTTCTCTGGAGTCATATGGGTTATACTTGTAGAAACAGAGTAATTGGGATGAAAAAAATATTCATTGAATAGCTTTGAAACCATTGATCTGGTTTGTTGTCGAAGTCAGTTTATTTTAAGAGGATGTCCTAGTCCATAAATATGCCTGTAATGATATGGGCCATTATTTGGGTTTCTGCTGCATGTCTCAGAAAGCTTAGGGACTTTAAACACTTCCTTTTTTTTTTTTCTTTTTCTTTTTTTTTTTTTGTAATAGCACTAGGGAATCATAGTGCATATACTAGGTACTCTGGTTTCTGAATGCAGCAACTAGATCTGAAATGATCTTATCCCTGTGGGATTATGCACTGTAATACAGGTGTATACATAAATATTTAATTGTGCATTTTTTACTGTGGATATTTCTGTGCTATTAACTGTAAATGTATTGTAAAATACTTGTTCCTGAGTAGGTCTGTGGCCATTGATCTGGGCCCAGGTAATTTTAAAATAATTCAGAGGTGTTTGTAAGGATTTCATGCCTGCATATGATTTACAAATAAAATGGAAGCCTGAGATTTGTGTATATATATTGCAAGTATGATTTATTATGCTGTTAAAGGATTTCAAATGAGAAAGTCTTACTTAAGTTATGTTTAAGTTATAATCATAAATTAAAAATCTCTGACATAGAATCTGATACGTATTGTCCTATTTGTAACGGTATTTAATGTTTTAATGTAATGCTCCCTTTTTGGAAATGTACATCATCTAAATGATTTAGGTCAGCTCTTAGATACAGCTTCATCAGGAGAACTTGAGGGGCTGGGGGAAGACTGGCTAAATAGCAAGGCTGTCCCTTATTTAGCTGTCCGTTTTCATAGCAGTCAAGGAAAGAGAAGCCAGCAGATGGCACTGACTGCCTGGGAACTAGCACAGCCAAAGCTGGACCCCAAACCAGCATTCCCAGTTCTGAAAGGAAGTAGGAAGGCTCAGCGACGTGTCCTTGTAATGCAGGTGCCTGGACCAGCAGTGAGCTTTGCGAGAGGTATGCTCAGGAGGGCGAGGAGAGCAGAAAGAGAAGCAAGTAGGTGATTTTGGTGCATAGTTAACACCACAAACCCCTCAGCCCATGCAGGTCTTTTGCAGACGTTTCTGCTGGGAAGTTAGCTGAGCGTGGGAGACCATGGACTAATAGGTGAAAGCACAGCTCTGGGGACTAGTGATGACTGCTGTTTATGGACCTTTGCTCCCACCCTGGCTTGGGCTGGAACCAAAGACTCTCCCATGGGCTTGTGCTGGCTAGATTGCAGTGATGGCCAGACACTCCTGTGGCCACCCTTTCCCAACCCCTGACATAGCCAAGGAAGCTGTGCTGTGGCTCTCTGTAGCTGCTGCCAGGAGCCAGGCCTTGATTATAAACCATGAGATGCATTCCTGCCCTAGGCAAAGCTCAAGAGAAGCCATCAGGCCTGTGAGCAAGGGAGTCAATTAAGAGGTGCTGTGCCACAGTGGACAGGGCCCATTGCTGTTTATCCCAAACCGATTAAAGAACTGAGAGCGGCTGTCAGCGCTTCCCCCGCCTTGACAAGGTGGGGCCCAACCATGTGAGCAGATGTAGAGCAGTAATCCTTTAGGTTCCCTGAGGGGACGTAGAGATTAGCCTGAAACGCCCTGCTCTGAATCCCTGCAGGAGCTGTTTTGAGAGCTAAACCACCACATGGGTCCCCCAGCCTGTCCTTGTTGTTGTCCTCTATATGCATGGCCCCGTAGCATCCTCTGGAGAGAGTCGCTCAGGCCAGCATGGTTCCTACCCTGCTGCAGTCAGGGCAGCCCAGCTTCTCCTTTCCTGACCAGAGATGGTGCTTCTAGCAGCTTTCCCTGGGATCTTACAGGGGCTTTATTTCCAGAAAAGAGACTATAAAATTATCCCTTCTCTTTCTCCCAAGCCTTCATCCCTTGTGACTTCTAGAGGCAGCAGGAGCGAGACCACATTTGGGTGGGATTAGTCCTCTATCTCTCCATATATCCCCTAGGCCAGACAAAGACTCCCTGAAGGGGATCTCCTTCCTTGCAGTGACTTACAGGTTATGTCTACCCTCATAATTAATGTTAGTCCAGGGCACAGGCAAAACCCTAGCCTGTGCTTGTCCAGGTTGCTTGATACTTGGTCCTCTCCTGGCACTGTTTTTTCCTGCTTCAGGATATGAATTACCAGTTAGGATGGCATGGTGTGTCCAGGTCTTTAGGATCTTCAGGAAGTTGGTTTATTTGCAGTAGATGTGTCTCTGTCACGGTGCCTGTGAACACAGCTCTTCTGTTGTTTGCTATGTGTATAGCTCCCATGCTGGCAAGAATGGCCATGGGAATGCTTGCTGGCAGGCAGTCATTTAGTAACTCCCTTATATCACTCCTCTATATGGTGCAGTGCTGTGTGACCACCGAAGGGCCTCAGGGTCTTTTCTGGAGGGGCTTTCCTTATTTTCTGTTGTTCCATTTCCCTTAAATTCCTCAGCTCTCCCTGGGCCTGTGGCATTGTTCAGAATGGGGTCCGTGTTTTGCCTGGCATCTTATTTCGGAGCAGATACCTGCTTGTGCCGTGACCTATGGAAGCTGTGAAGGTGACATTAACTGGGAGGCACGCATGTCCTTTCACAGCTCTGCGTGTTTGCTGCTTGGCAAGGGGATGGTTTTTGTGGCATAACTTAACACATTCCTGATGAACCGAGCTGCCTGGGTGGCTTTAGCTTTTTACATCTGTAGTCTGACAGAAGGGGACTTAGAAACAAAATTTCACTTAAAGTCTCAAACAGACAGTGTTTGATTTGGGGTGGGTGTTTCGGTGGCCCTTGATGATATGGACAGTATAAGACCTGCCCAGATTGGGTTTGTGCCTTCTGTTTTCATAAGCAATTCGCCATCAATCAGGAAGTCATTTACCAGGCCCTGGCTGAAGTTGCCTTCCACAGCTCCAGTTTTCAGGGGTTGAACTGGACCCAGCATTTGGCCAGCAGTTCTTCATTCACGAAGATGAGTCACTGCTACAGGCTCTGGAGACTGCACATCTTTGCAGGTCCTTGCGTGCTTTGCTGAGGACTGGCAGCACAGACTTTAAAGCAGCAGCTCCCACAGGAGTTGGTGTTGTGATCAAATCACTAACCTGCTCAGCTCCTGCTCTGGGAGCTGTCAGAGGATATTAGGGCCAGGAGGCCAGACTGCAACATACAATGTCTGTGCAATGCAAAATACTTAAACTTCTGTGAGTCTGGTTTCTGTCCTGAGTCTTAGTCCTGTTTGGATTCCACTGGTTCTTGCAGGGGGCTGGCTCCCTCCTCTTGGCTTGAGCACGCTGCTAATATGCGGCTGGTGGTGGGTATTTGGTGAGGGATCTTCAGCCCATAGACCTAAGGGAGCAAGTTGCTATGGTGAGCTCTTGGTCAGGGACATAAAGATCCACAACATCGCTGCTCCCTAGGAGCCATAACTCACATCAAAGGAGAAATACAGCATGGGCTTGCCCATGGACGGGCAGGCCATCCTCCTGTTGGTAGTGGGCAGTGGAAGCTTGGTGGAGGGCAGAAAAGCAGGCATCAGAGCCCAGCCTGTCATAGCATTTGCACAGTTGTACTATGGAGCTCCCTAGCCGGGTTTACAGCCTCTCTCATGCACATGTTTAGGGAGAAACAAGCAAAATTGCAGGTTAGATTTGACCAGCGGAGTCAAAACGTGCTGGATGGTTATTGCTACTCACCTGGCACTACTAAATCTCACCTAGAAGGGAAGCTGACTTGGCCAACATAGTTCAGCTGTGGCTCCAGTGGTGAGAAAGAAATCCACAGCCCAGAAAGTGTTTCCACAGCTGATGATGGCCAATGCTTTTTCCAGCTCAGGAGAGCTGCTGCGAAGAACAGGACAGTGTGCAAAAAGCACAAATGCCTCCTCAGCGAGGCAGCAGATGCCCCCGGGCAGCTGCCAGCAGGTTTTCTACCTGCATTCCTACTTCAGGGAAGGACATTCCCTGAAAAGCCCAACAGTTGCTTTGACTTTCAGCCTGGGCCAAGTGGGACCTTCATCAACTTCTCGCCTCGCCAGCTGCCATGAAAGCAGTGATGGCAGGTGTGAAATTGCACGTGACTTACTTGCTTGCTTCTGGCACTCCAGTGCTGTCATTTTGGGCTTTTGACAGCCTCTGAGTGGGCAGGAAGAGTGAATCACATTGAATCCATGCCTTCTGGAGCAAGCCTTGGGTCATAGAGCGCTTGGGTGGAAGAAAAAGAGTTAAAGGGGAGACAGGAAACACTTTGTTCAGGGCTTATTCCACAGGATGATTTCTGGGAAAGGAGGGGCTGCAATCAGACAGGATGTATTCACTTTGGGATCTTGGGAAATCAAGCCTAGCCTGGCCTAAACCAAGAGGAAAATATAGTGCAGCCCACGCTGCAAGAAACAGCGACGTTCCTGCTTCACCTTATCTTGTGTCAGCACAAACAATCCAGATAACATAAAAATCAGACATGGTGAAATGCTGGCTTCACATGAACAACCAAGATATCCCATGGGGAAATGATACAGTTTGAGCGGAAAGACAGTGGGAGCTGTCCTAGAAAGCCCCATCCTAAGACAGAAAGGGCCTTCTCCAGTCCTCACTATTTCCTCCTCCTCCCTTGCCTCAGTTGGTACCAGGAGCCCCAGGTTGGTCCCTGGGTGGAGAGCAGGATATGCTGTCTGTGTCACGGGGCTGTTCCCAGGCTGGAGTCTGATCTGCATGGCCTTCAAAGGCAGCAGAGGAAAGCTCTGCAGATGAGTTAGGAACTGCTGGGTCATTGTCAGAGAACAGAGATCTTTGTTGCTTCACAGCAAATCACTTTTGACCAACACAACCCCTGCAAACAACCAGATGTATCGGAGGTTCTTCTACTGTCAAAGGCACTTGTGAAGAAAAACTCACCAGTGTCAGTAACCTCTTGCAACTAAAGGCAGAGGATTTGGCTGAAGCACTTGGCAGTGATGAAGTAGTCATCATGGAGTCATGCAGGCAGGAGCAGGGAGACAGCCCACGTTCTCCACTGCTCTTCCTCCTTTCCTGGAGGGAAGAACAGCTCCATCTCTGTTTTGCACGGCCCTTCTCGCCTGCCACTTGCACTCTTCTTCCTGTTTTTTTTGGTGGGTACAGGGCTTGGGGTAGAGGTGAGAGACCCTCGCCATGTGCCCTCGGAGGGAAGAGTGGCAGTTTGCATTGTGTGGGCAATTGGTAAAGCC